TTTTTATGTTTACGTTTATGCATTTGGCAGACGCTTTTATCCAAAGCGACTTACAGAGTAGACACAATATTACATTTATCATCACTATGACAATAAGCTATATAAAGGAGAAACACTGATCAGAGTCAGTGGTGAGATAGAGATAGAGGTAGAGGGACTACAGAAGGAGCTGTGGGGGGGTAGAGGTACGGGTTAGGGTTAGGATAGGAGCTGTGGGGGGTAGAGGTACGGGTTAGGGTTAGGATAGGAGCTGTGGGGGGTAGAGGTACGGGTTAGGGTTAGGATAGGAGAAGCTCTTTGAAGAGGGGGGTCTTCAAGAGTTTATGAAGACAGACAGGTTCGATAGATGGTTCCACCATCTTGGAACGACACACACAAACAGTCTGGATTGTCTTAAGCGTGGTGAAGGCTCTGCTAGAACAGTGTTTTTCAACATTTTTTGAGCCAAGGTACATTTTTTCGTTGAAAAAATCACGAGGCACACCACCAACCAAAAATGTTAAACAAATCTGTAGCGGCCTATAGTAACACTATAGTTATTCTTATTTTATTCTTATCTTATCTTAAGTGTCTTGAATAGGAATCAAATAAACAAAAATGTATTTTTATCATATTTATATTTCTTCTTTCAAATTGCACTTAACATGTCCACTTTAATATATAAAATTAAATACAAAATCTAGTCATAAGGAATTATTACATGATTACGCCACCAGTCACTAGTACAGCACAGACACTCAAAAATGGCATATTATTTCCATATAATGAATTCCTTATCAAAAAATCTTTTTAGACCAATTAGGTGAAATAGGATGATTTTCTACGGCACACATGACCATCACTCACAGCACACTAGTGTACCGAGGCACAGTGGTTGAAAAACACTGTGCTAGACCACAGTCCTTTCTTGTGACTGGCTGGCTGAAGGAGTGGCCTAACCCCGGTGTTCTGTGTGTGTCTCTGGCCCAGATCGACCTGTACCTTTGCCTGGTGTGTGGCCGGGGGGACGAGGAGGACCGGCTGCTGCTGTGCGACGGCTGTGACGACAGCTACCACACCTTCTGCCTCATCCCCCCCCTGCAGGACGTGCCCAAGGGGGACTGGCGCTGCCCCAAGTGTGTCGCAGAGGTGAGGCTCCACGTCTGACACTTCCTGAGAGGTTTGGACCTCCAGTTAACAGCGTTATGAGCTGTCCGTGGAATCCGTTGTGGTCAAAATGACACAGTACAGCTTGTTTGATAATGTGTCCCTTGTTGGAACATCAGGCTCCCAAACATGTAGTATAATGAAAATTTAGCGTAACTATAGTAGGCTTGTCCCGATCCGATATCTGGATCGGATCGGCCGCCAATATTCGCCAAAAAATGCGTATCGGCTGGCAGGAGAAAATGCAGATCCAGACTCCAGATCCAGTTTTTTTTTTTTGAGTCCGATCCCACACGAGCAATAGCATTAGCATTAGCATCTCCTGACCCACAGGTCTGTGTCCTAAACATTAAGTTGTTATAAAGTTGAGTAAATCCTTGTTCAGCATGAGTCTGACAACTAAATAACTTTAAACTTTAATACATGCTCTGATAGTCCGGGATCAGAATTGGATCGGAAGTGAAAAATCTGGATTGGGATATCCCTAAACTATAGTGAAAAAGGAAGACAAAGTTTGTTTTTTGTCTGCATTTATGAAGGCAAATCATTGCGTTTCCAAAAACAGGACTTCAGAAATAGCCGATTTCTCAGGTTTTCGACCTTTCTGGCCCCTCACAGGAGTGCAGTAAGCCCCGGGAGGCGTTCGGCTTCGAGCAGGCTGTTCGGGAGTACAGCCTGCAGAGCTTTGGGGAGATGGCCGACCACTTCAAATCGGACTACTTCAACATGCCCGTTCATGTGAGCAGAACAGCCGCGGAGCTTTGCCGTGTGAGCGGAAACAGGGGCCGGGTTTGATGTCCCCCTGCCGCCCGCAGATGGTCCCCACGGAGCTGGTGGAGAAGGAGTTCTGGCGCCTGGTCAGCAGCATCGAGGAGGACGTCATCGTGGAGTACGGCGCCGACATCAGCTCCAAGGACGTGGGCAGCGGGTTTCCTCTCAGGGACGGAAAGAGGAGGCTTCTGGGAGACGAGGAGGTGAGAGGCTGGCAGCTTTCTCTGCTTCCCTGAGGCGTCCCTGGGTATGCCTGAGGGTTGTCGCGATACAAATATGTTCAACTGGATACCGATACTCAGGAAAATATTCGATACTCGATACCATTTTCGATACCACATAGATAAAAAAAAGACCCCAAAATTTACCTGAATTTTGACAGGTTAGTATCTTTCGTTTCAAACTGACCTGTTACTGATGTTATGGTGGCCCACATTAATGACCCTAACCCTAAACCTAACTCTGACCCTAAACCTAACTCTGACCCTAATCCTAACCCTAACCCTCCACCCTTCATAATTGTGAGAAATAAATATTTTTTGGGGTTTAACTTGTTTGGACTTATTGTACAAACCTATTTAACATCCACTATTTTAACATAGTATTAATCTAAACCTAAACCTGGCCCTAAACCTAACTCTGACCCTAATTCTAACCCTAACCCTCCACCCTGACCCTAACCCTAAACTTAATCCTGACCCTAACCCTGACCCTAACTCTGACCCTGACCTTCCATCCTTCATAATTGTGAGAAATAAATATTTTTGGGGGTTTAACTTGTTTGGATTTAACTTATTTTACAAACCTATTTAACATCCACTATTTTAACATAATATTATGTATCGAGTTTAATTCAGTGTTTGCAAGATTAATTTCACTATTTTTAAATTAATGTCTATATTGCCATGAAGCAATTAGGATTTTCTTCCCTGGGATCTTCCTATTGGTGACCTAATCAAAATGGCTGACTTGGATGTGGGGGAGTTGGATATCCATCCTTGTCTTCCTGCAGTCTGCAGCGAACCACAGCTAGCAATTCAAGGCTAACGTCATGTTAATGATCATAAACAACGTAAATAAATCAGACAGAAGGGGTGGATACTTTTGAAAATGAGTATCATATCCGGATACAACGTTTTAGTATAGATACTTTTGACAACCCCAGTCTGCCCTCCTAACTCAGCTCTGTTTGTTTCTGGTCAGGAATACGCCAACTCAGGCTGGAACCTGAACAACATGCCGGTCCTGGAGCAGTCTGTGCTCACCCACATCAACGTGGACATCTCGGGGATGAAGGTGCCCTGGCTCTACGTGGGCATGTGTTTCTCCTCCTTCTGCTGGCACATCGAGGACCACTGGAGCTACTCCATCAACTTCCTGCACTGGTGAGAACCCCAACTCTTCATGGAAACCCACCTTTGAGAATTCAGACAAATGTTTTCGCCTCTTCAGGTCATTGAGGACATAAGTATGCAGATTTATCATCCACAGAGGCGTTGAGTCTCAGATGGACACTCATAAAAAACATGTCTTCAAACAAAGTTCAAAACAGAAAATGATAGAAGAGAAGGTAAACAAGAGGCTGTGATTTGATTGGAGAAAATAATTCAGACCAGGGCTCAGTCATCCAAACGGGCCAATGAGAGCAGGGCATGCTGTCCCATGTGATCCGAGAAAGGAGAGTATACTATGTATGATCCATTTAAAAGGGGCGGGGGGACATCTGTGTGGGGAATTCTCTGAAAAATCATTGAAAAATCAGCTTTTTTTCAGCTTTAGATGACGTTCAAAGAGCGCAGAAATCTCAGCTTTTCCACATGAAGCCATAAAGTGTCAGAAAACCTCTGCTTTACTCCAGCCGCATCAATCTCTGCACAGAACATGTCCACACTCTGGCTCATGGTTTCATTCAGGTTCTGACCCACCACAGGGGACACAGTGACAGCCTCTGGATGGATGCTAACACAGTTAGCTTCATTCTGAGAGCGGCTGGTGTGGGGCATAACAGCTTTTCTTTCACCCTAACTGTCTTGCTTTACGTATTTTGTGTCCCAGGGGAGAACCCAAGACTTGGTACGGGGTTCCGGCCTCGGCGGCAGAGCAACTGGAAGCAGTGATGAAGAAGCTGGCTCCGGAGCTGTTCGACTCCCAGCCGGACCTCCTTCACCAGCTGGTCACCATCATGAACCCCAATGTCCTCATGGAGCACGGCGTCCCTGTGTGTAGCCCAACCGAGCCTCCAGCTTCCACTATAGCCATTTCACATGTCCTGGGTCCTGATATCCGAGCCTCCGTGTGTCTGTCTGCCCCCTCCAGGTGTACAGGACCAATCAGTGTGCGGGCGAGTTTGTGGTGACCTTCCCCAGAGCCTACCACAGCGGCTTCAACCAGGGATACAACTTTGCAGAGGCCGTGAACTTCTGCACCGCTGACTGGGTGAGGCAGCAGCCCATCCCCTGTTTAATCCACCACACAGACACGAAGCAGTTTAATGGATGTACCCGCCCCATGTAGGGTTGTCAAAATTATCTATACTTAAAAAAGTATCGATTCTAAAACGTTGTATCCGGATACAATACTCATTTTCTCTCCGATTTATTTATTTATGTTGTTTATGATCATTAACGTGACGTTAGCTTTGAATTCCTAGCTAATGGCTAATGGCTAAAAACAGGGTTTAACCAATTTATTATCCTGTCGAAAAAGCTGTTTAGATTAAAGAGTTATTGAGGAGTTAAAAACTAGTCTAACCAATTAAAAAGCTGTTTAAATTAATGGCAGATTAATGGCTGATAATATCACGCCAACATTAATGCGGGCCACCATAACATCAGTAATAAGTACGTTTAAAACGAAAGACACTAACCTGTCGCATTCAGTTAAATTTTGGGGTCTTTGTTTTTATCCTTGTGGTATCAAAAATGGTATTGAGTATTTTCCTGAGTATCGGTATCAAGTTGAGTTGTATCGTAACAACCCTAATCCCATGTGGCTCCCAGCTCCCAATGGGCCGTCAGTGCGTCGCCCATTACCGCCGGCTCCACCGCTACTGCGTCTTCTCCCACGAGGAGCTGCTCTGCAAGATGGCCGCCGACCCCGAGAGCCTGGACGTCGAGCTGGCTGCGGCCGTCTTCAAAGAGATGGGAGACGTGATAGAGGAGGAGGCAAAACTCAGACAAGCCGTCCAGGAAATGGCGAGTATCCCTTTTTTATTCCTGGCTTTGTCCCTTTGAATGGCAGCATTTTCTTAAAGGAGACATATTATACCCTATTTCAACAAGTTAAACTAGTTACCCGGTGTCCTAATGTAATGTCTGTGACAAGTTTTGGTCAAAATCCCATAAGGATGAAGCCCAATAGCAGTTCAGTCCCCCTGCCAAAACAGCCCCGTTCAGAGCGCTCGCTTTGGAGTGCCTGTCTCTTTAAATGCAAATGAGACACAGGCAATCCACCCACTTCTTCCGGGAGGTGTGCCGAAATCAGCACGCTAACATTACCATGCTAACGCTACCATGCTAACGCTCACGCTACAACGACGTCTCCACAGATAGGGGAGTAAGCTGAGGTGGGGGGAAACATGCAGGTGAAAGGCTGGAATATTATAATGAGCTAGAGCTAATGACGTCAGAAACTACCCACTCCTGAAACCTCCTGATTTATCTCCTGGATTCAGACTGAGGCAGCCCACAAAAACATGAACGAGTCATTTTTTTTCACACTTTGCCTGCTGATAGGCCCTCCACAGTCCCAAATGTACAGAATCAAATGATTAAAAACTTGGTTTTGCATAATATGTCCCCTTTAAAGGGTTTCTTTACTCCTTTCTCTCCTAACAAACAGGGCGTCCTGTCATCGGAGCAGGAGGTTTTTGAGCTGGTTCCAGATGACGAGCGGCAGTGTTACAAGTGCAAAACGACCTGTTTCCTGTCGGCGCTGACCTGCTCCTGCAGCCCCGACCGCCTGGTGTGTCTCCACCACACCAAGGACCTCTGCGACTGTCCGCTCGGCCACAAGTGTCTTCGGTAAGACAAACGCCGGCCGGGAGCCGCGCCTCCTGTCCGGTTTTACAGCCTAAACGAGCCCGAGCCTTTCAGGTATCGCTACGACCTGGAGGAGCTCCCCTCCATGCTGTACGGCGTGAAGACCCGGGCGCAGTCCTACGACACCTGGGCCAAAAGGGTCACCGAGGCCCTGGCAGCAGACCAGAAAAATAAGAAAGGTAAAAGGATCAGACTGTGGTGCTCATACGATATTAAACGAACAGATGTCCCTCCTAAAACAAACCCCGACCTCCTGAAAACAAGCAGCTGCATTACTGATGGAAAAATTAAACACTTTTAAGAAGGTAGTGCTTTTTTAAAGCAGTTCTTAAGTATTTACTTCTTAATTATAGTGTGTTTTGCGTGCCAACATCTGGCAAACTGCCATCCAGTAACCTTCTAACGCCATAGATCATATTTGATACACGTTTCTGAGACCTATGGCACCTTCATATAGTCCAAAATATTCCAGAATAGTCCAGAATATTTTCCTGTTTCATTTTGGTTTCTAGTAAACGTGCAGAGAAAATAGATAAAATCTGATTAGAACATGTAGAAATTACATTTCAGAAATCATATTCAGAAATACTTTAATAATCCCAGAGGGAAATTTAGACTTTCTTTTCTAATATTGTGTTTAAGAAGCAAAAACTTTAGCTAAAAAAGCTTTTTAGTCCATTTTGGGTCTGGCTTTATGTTGTCAAACATCCTTAAAGAGTAAAATTGACAGCAAACTGATAAGAAGTGAGTGTAATGAAAAGCATTTCCTGCTATAGCCAACAGAGAAAATCCAAAATCCGGCTTGTTTTGGCGTCCATATTGGAAATGACTGGTGTCTCTGTGCCAATCGGATCATTGGCAGGCTGGTTTTTACTTTCATCTTCTTCCTCGCAGATCTCATCGAGCTGAAGGTTTTGCTGGAGGACGCGGAGGACAGGAAGTACCCCGAGAACGCCTTGTTCCGCCGGCTGAGGGAGATGGTCAAAGAGGCGGAGACGTGCTCCTCCGTGGCCCAGCTGCTGCTCAGCAGGAAGCAGAGGCACAGGTTTGTGTATTTGTGTAGCACATTTAGTGTACAAGACAATTCAAAGTGCTTCACAGAGAATTTAAAAGCAGAAAAACAAGAAAAGAAAAATAATCAACACAATAAGGACAACGACAGCAACAACAACAACAATAACTGACGATCGTCAACACAAACACGTACAGTGGGGGAAATAAGTATTTGACCCCTTGCTGATTTTGCAGGTGTGTCCACTTACAAAGAATGCTTATTTTTCCTCATCAGATGGTTATCAATTTTTATAAATTCATATGATGTGATTTTCTGGAATTTTCTTTGGGATTCTGTCTTTCACTGTTAGAATGTACATATGATTAAAGTTATAGATCGTTGCATTCTTTGTAAGTGGGCAAACCTGCAAAATCAGCAAGGGGTCAAATACTTATTTCCCCCACTGTATGGGATCCCGTCACACTAAACAAATACTTTTTCCTCGGCCCCTGGCAACAAGGATTGTTTACTTTTGATTGGCCCCTGGCAACGATCCAATTGCTTTAATCGATCGGTCCCAGACAACGATCCAATTTCCCTTCGGCCCCTGGCAACGAAGGCCTACCTCCTCGGCCCCAGGCAACGAGAATCTCTACTAAACAGCGCTTTTGTCACTCACAGATGAAAAGTGAAGCTTTAGAGGGTGATCTGAACTTTAGTTTGTTTTTGTTTTCTCTCCCCAGCAGCCGCCTGCGCTCTGAGAGCAGCCGCAGTCGCAGTAAACTGACGGTGGACGAGCTCAAAGCCTTCGTGGAGCAGCTCTTCAAGCTGCCCTGCGTCATCAGCCAGGCCCGACAAGTCAAAGTCAGTCCGGACTCCGTTACCCCCCCCACCACGCCCTCTATGGCGTAATTTTTATGTCAAATGTTCACACGTGCAAAATTAACCTTCACCGCGCGTAAATGAATTAGAATGAGATTTCTAATATACATAAAATGTCTCTGACTGCATATAAAATGCTGCGCAGCTCATAGTTAAATCAATCTAATTAATTTACTTACCCCACTCTTCAGTGGTAAGTTAGCCCAACTCCATGCTTCCTGTAATGGGAGCTGTCAATCAAGGTACAAGGACATCCCTGTGGTTGTAATCACGACGAAAGTGACCAATCATAAGAGGGTCAGTGCCCCCTTGGTTTCCGCCCCCAAATTGTCAAAAGTCCTGGAGACTCGAGCGAGCTGAGTTATCCTTTGAGAACAAACCAGGCGCTCGCTCGCAGAAACTTGTGCAGCTCTCGGTTGTTGAATTTGTGTGCGAATACTGTATCTGGGCGCGAGAAGGTTAATTTTTGCGCGTGTGAACATTTGACATAAAAATGACACCATAGCCCTCATCCAGTTCAGCTCCCAGCCTCCGTTAACCTTCTTCCCCCTGTTCTCCAGGAGCTGCTGGAGAATGTGGAGGACTTCCACGAGCGAGCCCAGGTGGCGCTGTCCGACGAGATGCCCGACTCCTCCAAGCTGCAGGCCCTGCTGGACCTGGGCAGCGGGCTGGACGTGGAGCTCCCCGAGCTGCCCCGGCTCAAGCAGCAGCTCCAGCAGGCCCGCTGGCTGGACGAGGTTAGCTCCACCCGCCCCGGACACGCCCTGCCAGGGCCTCTGGAGACTATCAGAATCAGAAATGCTTTAATAAGCCCAAAGGGAAATTATTTTATGTACATATATACATGCCTAAACATATGTATATATATACACATATACACGAAATTCCACACAGAATATTGATAAATATATATATACGTAATAATAATATTTGCCAGTAGTTTAGTTACAATTTACAGAGGGGGGGTGTCCTGAGGGAGCAACTCCTTTGTTTCTCCTGCTTTAGCCCTTGGAGCACTTTTTATTCTGGAATAAATGCACTCAAAATGGTTTTAAGTTCTTATATAGTTACTTTTTCCAGAAAGAAAACAGCATCATGTGCATATATACATGTCTATTCATATATATATATATGTATATATTTATATATATGAATATATATACAAATATCTATCTTAATACATAAGTAACTATATGTGTATATATAGGTCTAAAATAAGTGATGTTTTGGACTGATGAATGGGTTTGCCTGATGCTTTCCTCAGGTGCGTATCACTCTGGCTGAGCCTCACCGCGTCACCCTGGAGCTGATGAAGAGGCTGATCGACTCGGGCGTGGGCCTGGCCCCGCACCACGCCGTGGAGAAGGCCATGGCCGAGCTGCAGGAGGTCCTCACCGTCTCTGAGAGATGGGAGGATAAGGCCCGCGCCTGCCTGCAGGCCAGGTGAGGCCTCACCGCCACTCTGCAGCTCTTCTACGAGCCACAAAAAGCTCCTAAAAGAAGGAAAAACACGACATGGAGTTAGCACAATTTAGCCCAGGTCATCACAATAACAGCACCTTATTAGGTTTATAGCACGCAAAAGGATAGAAATGAGGATTTTTTATTATTTGTGCCCTTTACCTGCTATACCGAGGAGATGATTTGGGTAAAATCAATGACTAATGTGTCTGTTTTACTTCCTTATATGTACAGTAGAATTTTTTTAATCTTTAATCCCAACACAAGCACAAAATCCCACCAGCTCCATCTTTGAGGATTTTCATTTTCAGTGTTTTGGCTATAAAACCAGCCTCCGTGGGTAAAATGTTGTTGGTTTTCCATTCAGATTAAACTCCATCCGGTTAGTGTTACTGGTCCTTTTGATGTAACTCGTATTTAAAAGCCCTTCAAGAAACATACTTCTGTCCATTCAGCTCAGTTTAGGCTCCGAAGTGCCAAACAAACCAACAGTTAACCTCCTAAACAGTCTGTTCAGCGTAACAGAAAAGAGGAAAAAAAATATTTTTAATACAGTTTCCCTCTATTTTATGGGTTCTGTGTCTTGTATTGATTTAGAACCAAAATAAGGAGTCAGATGATGTTCAGTTTCCTCTTAAACAAGTGAGTTTTCCTCTCCAAGGCCTCGCCACAGCATGGTGACCCTGGAGAGCATTGTGCTGGAGGCCCGGAACATCCCGGCCTACCTGCCCAACATCCTGGCCCTGCGCGAGGCCCTGCAGAAGGCCAAGGAGTGGACCTCCAAGGTGGAGGCCATCCAAGTGGGCAGCAGCTACGCCTACCTGGAGCAGCTGGAGTCCCTGCTGGCCCGCGGGCGCTCCATCCCCGTGCGGCTGGACCCGCTGGCCCAGGTGGAGTCCCAGGTGGCCGCCGCCCGGGCCTGGAGGGACCGCACCGCCCGCACCTTCCTGAAGAAGAACTCCACCTACACCCTGCTGCAGGTGGGCCGCCGGGCGCCCGGACCAGGGTGGTCAAAAACTTTGTATCCGGATACGATACTCATTTTCAGAAGTATCGATACCAAACCCCCTCTCTATTATTGATTTATTTACTTGCTTGCTTGCTTGCTTGCTTGCTTGCTTGCTTGCTTACTTGCTTACTTAATTGCTTACTTAATTGCTTACTTAATTAATTACTTAATTAATTACTTAATTAATTACTTACCTACTTGCTTACCTACTTGCTTACCTACTTGCTTACTTACTTACTTACCTACTTGCTTACTTACTTACTTACTTACTTACTTACTTACTTACTTACTTACTTACTTACTTACTTACTTACTTACTTATTTACGTTGTTTATGATCATTAACATGACGTTAGCCTTGAATTGCTAGCTGCGGCTAATGGCTAATAATAACACGCCAACATTAATCAAGTCCGTCAAGGATGGAACCAAAAAATATTTATTTCTCACAATTATGAAGGTTGGAGGGTTAGGGTCAGGGTTAGGTTTAGGGTCAGGGGTCAGGGTTAGGGTCATGGTTAGATTTAGAGTTAAGATAAGGATTAGGGTCATTAATGTGGGCCACGATAACATCAGTAACAGCTCAGTTTGAAACGAAAGACACTAACCTGTCAAAATTCAGTTAAATTTGGGGGTCTTCGTTTCTAACCTTGTATCGAAAAGGGTATCGAGTATTGAATATTTTCCTGAGTATCGGTATCGAGTTGAAAATGTTAGTATTGTGACAACCCTAACCCGGACGCCTCTCCCCTCCTCCTCCAGGTCCTGAGCCCCCGCGTGGACATCGGGGTGTACGGCAACAGCAAGAGCAAGCGGAAGCGCGTGAAGGAGCTGATGGAGAAGGAGCGGGGCGGCTTCGACCCCGAGGCCCTGAGCGACCTGGAGGAGAGCCTGGAGGAGGTGCGGGACCCCTCCACCGTGGTGGCGGCCTTCAAAGCCAAAGAGCAGAAAGAAGTGGAGGCCATCCACTCGCTCCGGGCCGCCAACCTGGCCAAGATGGCCATGGCCGACCGCATCGAGGAGGTCAAGTTCTGCCTGTGCCGGAAGACGGCAAGCGGCTTCATGCTCCAGTGCGAGCTCTGCAAGGACTGGTTCCACGGGGCCTGCGTGCCTCTGCCCAAGACGGGGACCCAGAAGAAGGCGGGCGCGGGCTGGCAGAGCAACAGCAAAGAGGCCAAGTTCCTGTGTCCACTGTGCCAGCGCTCGCGGCGGCCGCGGCTGGAGACCATCCTCTCGCTGCTGGTGTCCCTGCAGAAGCTGCCCGTGCGGCTGCCCGAGGGGGAGGCGCTGCAGTGTCTGACGGAGAGGGCCATGAGCTGGCAGGTACGGAGGGGTGAATTGTGGGATGACCGTCTTCAAGTAGCTCCAGTCGAAGTGCTGCAGGAAAAACTCTGCTGAGGCAGAACGTGGTAGAACAAACGAGGATTTTACTGTCAGCCAGGTCCGAGTCTGAGGTTCAGATTGATGCTTCAAGTCTGGAGAGGTCTCAGAGAAAACTCTCTCTAACTCTGGGTGTGTCTGCCCTTATGTTTGCTATCCCGTATCTGTACTTTTTCATCCAGGCGTGCAGCCCGAATATGGTTTTATCCATATCATAAGCCTTTTCCTTTTTTGTCCTCGGCCAGGCCGTCTCCATATTTCCTCCATAGCTTGAGCATCCTCCCTAGACTCTACTTTAGGAGAGTGGAGTAGAAGTACAAATACTATATAAAAAAATTGACTTGAGTAAAAGTAGAAGTGTTCTTTCAACTCCATACTTAAGTGGAAGGACGGAAGTACTCCATTTTGTATTGAAAGTAGAAGTATTTCAAAAATTGCTACTCAAGTATCGAAAGTACAAGTATAAGTACAAGTACAATACAGGTGTTTTAAAAAAACATAAAACTACATCTGCATTAGCAATCAACAGCACTTAAATGCTATTATTTATTATTCCAGAGTCAGAATCCTGAGCTGAGCCTTTATGCAGAGATGTATAAAGTAGTGGAGTAGAGGAGAGGAGTGGGGTAGAAGTACTATATAAAAGAATTGACTAGAGTAAAAGTAGAAGTATTCTTTCAACTCCACACTTAAGTGGAAGTACGGAAGTACTCAAATTTTTTTGTACTTAACTCATTGACTGGCAGCCATTTTCAGAACAGAGAGTCCCATACTGCCAGAGTTTTTTGAGCATTTTGACTGATGTTTCAAGAGCCACAGAATAGTTTGTGCTATGACTATGTAAACACCGAACACACCAAAAGAAAGAGTAGACTCTCTTCTTTCATCAGGAAAAAAAATTGTTTCTGGGGATGATTCATTACGTTTACATCTCAGTAACGAATAACGATTCAGCCCGTGAAAAAAGTATTCAATTAATCAAAAATATGTAGTAGAGTAAAAGTAAAAGCAGGGAAAAAATATATACTCCAATAAAGTACTGATACTCTTCCCCCCCCCCAGGACCGAGCACGCCAGGCTCTGGCCACGGAGGAGCTGTCCTCTGCCCTGGCAAAGCTGTCCGTGCTGAGCCAGCGAATGGTGGAGCAGGCGGCCCGGGAAAAGACCGAGAAGATCATCAACGCTGAGCTGCAGAAGGCCGCAGCCAACCCAGACCTACAGGTAGGCAGTCTGCACCATTCTGAGAGTCCCAGAGGGGCAGATTAAAGTTATGGCAGTACCTGGAGGGACCAGAAGAGGGCGCTGAAACGTAAACACAGGCAGGCAGGATGTGCTCTGACCAGGGGCTGTAAATCCTCAGTTTAAAGGCGTCCTTTTAGTTTAGTTTCTGACAAATTTACAAATGATTTACAAGGAAACATTAGAATCAATAATTCTTTCTAGTTTGTATCATAAATAACTGATTTTGAAGAAGCTCAGATCCTTCTTTTTTGTCATTTATTAAGACACAACAAGCCTGATTTTTGTTTTAATCTGCAGGTGAGGCTGTTATTTATCATTAATTTTATTTTAAGGCACGGCTAGTTTATTTGTATAGCACATTTCGTGTACAAGACAATTCAAAGTGCTTCACAGATAATTTAAAGGAAAAACAAGAAAATAAAAATAATAAGAATTAGAATGATGAAAGTGAAGGGTGCAGGTAAAATACATTTAATATCCATCTGCAGAGTTAAACAGAAGTGTTTTCAGCCTGGATTTAAAAACATTTAGACCTGAGTTTTGTCTCACATCTTCAGGAAGACTGATCCAGATTTTAGGATCATGGAACTGAAATTAAGCTTAACCTTGTTTAGTTCTGACTCTGGGCCCCATCAGGAGACCAGAACCTGGTTCTCAGAGTCCGAGCTGGTTCATTCGACTTTAACATGTCAGAAAGGTTATTTCGGTGCCTATGGAGAGACTTGTACACAAGAGACCTCATCTGTGGAGAAAGTTATTGGAATTTAAGTTATTTGTCAAGTTCCTGTTTCTTTTTATGTTTTTAAACACTTTTTTTGTCTTTTGTAAACTGCTGGACTTTGTGGGAACTGAGAACTGATGGTGACAAGGCTTTAAAGTGGTGGAGGTGTATTTTGGGAGAGGTGAAAGGAGTGAAATAGCTTTTTCTGGTTTTGTCTGTAAACCATTTTTTGTCTTTTGTAAACTGCTGGACTTTGTGCTGGAGAACTGATGGTGAAAAGGCTTTAAAGTGGTGGATATGGATTTTGGGAGAGGTGAAAGGAGTGAAATAGCTTTTTCTGTTTTTGTCTGTAAACCATTTTTTGTCTTTTGTAAACTGCTGGACTTTGTG